AGGACAAGGTGCGTTTCTATCAGTCTTCCTACCATTATGACCAAGTTGCGAAAACAAGGTCAAACATCTTCTATTCAACGAAAAGAGACTGCGACCACACAAAAGGCTACACCATCTTGGTTTTCATATCTATATGTCTTAAAGCCTTAGGTTCAGAAGATGGGCCAAATGTAATATTACCGCAGTAAATCTATCAAATATTTTAAATAAGTCTATAAGATGGATCACTACTAAAGCTATGGTACTTAATGTGGTTATTTTTTGCATCACTCACTAACGACTCTACTTTTGTGGTCGGTGTATGGTCATTTTTTTATATGCTTTATTTCAATAGGAAAATTAAGATAAATTCAACAAATATTACAAGGTTTTATTTAGATTTAAAAAATTGCCTTTTTTGCTTGTGTTAGTCAAATATATCTATATAAATACTAGTTATGGGAAATGCACCTATAATATACTGTGTACTATTTAATGTGTTGCCGCGCGAGAAATCTGCCGGTGGCCAATTCAATTTATCACGAGTTATTTCTTTCTAATTTCACTTTTCACATTTGCCTTGGAATGCGTGGTCATAAAAGCGCCATACAATGACATTTAATAAGTCAAACAGTGTTTTTCAGGAAGAACTTGACGATGTAGAGAAAGAACTAATTGAGAACGATCAATTAAATAAATGGGACTATCTTTACGAGGTTATTCTAATAACCTGGTCATTGTTTTAGCGACTTAGAAATGAATCTACCTTAAAAACCAAATCCTCCTCTATTGCTACGGCTCGTGAAGTTGTGAACAGATCGAAAAATCGGTACCGCGATATTAGTCCATGTACGTGTATTATTGTAACTGATTTACAGATGATTTAACCAGAGTTAAACTCCAGAGGCTTCGTAATAGCGACTACATCAATGCCAGCTATGTTTCAGTGTCATGTGTTCCTCAGAGGAGGTATATACTTACTCAAGGCCCTCTTCCTCGTACTGCGGGACACTTTTGGCTCATGGTGTGGGAGCAGTGCAGCCCGTCAATAATTATGCTTAATCGAATATATGAAAAAGGCACAATGAAATGTTTTCCCTATTTTCCTTGTGGTCGTGGTCCAACAACGACGACTTTTGCAGACGTAGGGTTGTCCGTACAGTTAAACCAGGAAAAATTCTTAGATGTATGCATTTTTCGCGTTTTCGAACTAAAACTTGTTCAGGTTAGTTATTTTAAGGCCTCTTTATACTAATCGCCTCGAAAGTTATTTATTACACCATAATTCTCTTGAGTATGATCTTTCAAAGTTTAGTCATGATGAAAAATTAAATGTCCATTATTTACTTTTAAGTATATCTTGATTGTAAGCTCCTGAACCAGTTTAAGGAGTTTCAAAGATATTTGCTTGTAAAATATTATATGAAAGACGTATCTGCCCGGATTATTTAACATTGCTATTCTATTAGCACTTTCATGTCTTCCCTTGGCAAATCGAAATTTTTTTAGCATTGTTACTGCCAACAAATTATCATGCGATTACTTATTTCTGTACTTTAGCTCATTCAGATTTATTTGCAAGATATGTATTTTGTTATTAGACGTAATTCTGCTAA